ATGTCAAATTTTTACAACTAAATATTAAATATATAAAAAAGCCTGCAGCATTCTCATGTTACAAAAACATATTTATTTATTCTGAGGCTGGGAATTGATTTAGTTTTAAAAATACAATTTATTCCTTTTAACAATTTCCCAACAGTGTCATCAAAACACTATAAATTCCTTACATGTTTTAAAGAAAGATGATTCATTAATGTAAAGATTATTAAATAGCTAATTTTATTATTCAATTTTTAATACAAATTAATTGAAATTAGAAACTGATTTTGTAAAACAATTTAATTATGAATAATTCAATTTGGGGGCTATTGGATGTTTAAAAATGATCAAAAGATTTTTAATATCTTAAAAATAAAAGCAAAATTTTCAGTTTTAATATTTTGTATTAATAATTCATTTTAATTTCCTTGCTCAGTTTTAATATATTCACAAATTCAGATTTAAAAACAAAATAAGTTGTATAAATATTTTCAACATTTCTGATTTTTCCATAGTAACCATAGGAGAAGGATTTGAGACTATCTGTGTAAAAAAAGTAGGTTTTAGATCATCACACCTTCACATACTTTCACTGGAATTTTCCTCTGTATATATACTGGGATGTGACACTAAGCAGTTGAGAGTATGTATTTAAGAGGTTAAAGGGATATTGTAACTAGTGTTTCAAATCCTGATAACATCCCATACGCTGTCGGTGGGACGTAGATAGGATGTCCTAAGGATATACTGGGATGTGACATTAAGCGCTCAGGAGGATGAGTTTAGGAGGAAATTGGGATATTACGGGATGTCCTGAGGATGTAGTAAGTAGGACTTTAAATCCTAATAACATCCCATATGCTGTCGATGGGACATAGATAGGATGTTTTTAGGATATAATGGGATGTGCTTAGGAGGTTTGTGGGATATCCCGGGATGTTCTGAGGATGTAGTAAGTAAAAGTTCATATCCTAATAACATCCCGCACGCTGTCGATGGGACTTGGTTAGGATGTCCTGAGGATATCCCGGGATGTGACATTAAGCACTCGGGAGGAGGTGTTTAGGAGGTTCACGGGATATTGTGGGATGTCCTGAAGATGTGCGCATATCCCGCGAGCAACATCCTTGGGATATCCCAAGGATGTTTTTGTGCTATGTGGGTTCTTCATTCTGTAAATGAGGGAGGTGTATTTTTATATGGTATTTTGGCTTCCTACAGTTATATTTTTTAATTAATATGAATCTAGTTCTGAACTTATTTTATTTCTTGCTTTATGTAGAAGGAGAAGTAGAAGGTGGTGGGTTAGACCAGTATTTGAGAGACAACTGCAGTATGGAGATGCTAATTATTTACATCAGGAAATGCACTTCAATACTGTCGAACTTTTTTTTTTAATTTACTCTTGCATGACACCTCATCAATTAGATGAATTTCTAGCCCTTGTTGAACTATCAATCCAAAAGTACGAACTAGTTTTCGTTGGAATTTCCTAGAAAGAGATCATTTGGAGGATAGGAAAAGGATATTCCAGAAAAGGAATGTTGATTTAATATATTGTATTTATATAGTTTGTGGAATGCTAATTAGAACTTCTTAATTGCATATTTCAGTTTCAGAGAGTATTTTATATGATGTGTGTAATTTCCTTAATAAAATTGGCTTAATGTAATACAAAAATTATATTTTGTTCTAATGTGTAAAGGATTTATAGGGTTACAAAATATCACACTTGAAAAACAAAATAAGCAGTTTCTTTAAAAAATTAATAGTGAAGGGACATTAAAAATATTAAAACATATTTTTTGCTTTATGTATATATTTTTTATCTTTAAATGTAAGCATAGTCATTGATATATTAATGAAGAGTCAAGATGTAAAGTTTTATTTCATAAAATCACTTTTGTCTAAAACTCAATGAAGAAACTGCTAAATATTTCTTTTTCAGTTTTGAAAACTGAATTCCACAATTTGTAAATTTTGCTGATGATCATACTGGTGTTCTTTAAATCAATGAAAAATTACCATCAAGATAATCCTCTCTGGTTTAATTCTTGTGTATTTGTGTGAAAATGCTAATGCATTTAAGGAAAACAAACATGAAGCATTAAAATGCTTATAAATATTCCATGAAATAAGCATCAATTTAAAGTTGAATTTTGTCTTAATTTAAATATTGCATACTGGCAGACTTCCTTTCTGCATAAATAATAGTTTTCCTAGATGTTTTAAACAAATGGCTTACTGGTCACCAGCTATTTAACCCTCTGGCTGCTCATCCCACGATTTCCACGGGCAACTCTAATGTAGCAAAATCTGCTCATCCCACGATTTCCGCGGGCACGTGTTTTTCTTCTTTTATTGAGGAGCACATCCCCTTTTTTCTTCGTTTAACCCATTGAAATAAGTTATATACAGTATCAGACATTTAGTTTTTGTTTTGGCCAACAGATATCGTTAGTTGTCCACTAATTTGCGGCATTTGAAGACACGTGGTATTACCGCTCAAAGTTCACTTTTTGTCACTTTTTTCTTACAGAAATGGCTGCTAGAAAATGTTCAGCGATTGACAGAGAGTATATTCCTGATGACTTATCAGATTCTGAAAGCGATTTTAGTTTTGATAGCGATAGTGATATAGATTTTTCAGACTGCTTCTCATATAGCGATGACTCTGATGATTCAATAAACTTGAACTCTATCATACTAAAATGCATTTCTTAGGTATGTTTTCCTCAGTGCTTTAAATTTTCTTAAATTTTATACATTTTACTTTTTTATCTTATACAATAAATAGAAATTAACTGTAATTAAACTGAAATTTATTTTAAAAAATTATTTTTGGTTTTTCTGGGAACTTAGTTTCTTGTGATAAAAATCTATATAAAAAATATTTTCTAAAAAGAAAAAATGCACTTTTCAATTCTCCAATATATATAAATTTAAAATATGCAAAATAAAAAATACACAATTTTTGAAGCGGACACAAGTTGAGCAGTCAGAAGGTTAAAACTAAGAACTCATTAAAATTAGATAAAAAAAGCAACCTTATGCCAATCTTGATTTTGTTAGTTTGGTGTCAGCTGAAATATCTTTTAGACTGATCGTCTTCGTGAATTGTGTTGAAGGCATAATCCTATTATAAAAAGGATTATGCACAAAGTGCCACTTGAAATGCAAAAATCGAGTTTATAATCATTGCAAAATAAATGCAAAGTCTTTGTACAAAAAATGAATGGTGGTTGATAAAAAATTTGGTGAATTTGCACTGCTCCCCCCAAAACTTGCAATCTCTAGTATCAGTTATATTTTCTCAGTGTGTTACCTCTGACCTAGTGAATCTTTTGTCAAAAACTGGTTTCAAAACTTCAGTTAACTAAATGAGTGATAGTTGTTTTCTTCAAATATTGAATTATTATGATTTTAAACCTAAAACTTTATAGATGCTGTTTGTAATGTTTTAAAACTTTTGTTTTATAATAACAACACACATTGTATGGACGAGTGCTGAAGTATAGAGTAAAAATAAAGAGAATGCTGTCGTAGGCAAAAACTGTAATTGTCTTTGAAATAAGTGTAAGCTGAACTATCCAGAGAGCTCGGGTAATGCCACATTCTGGATACATGAAAAGTTAGATAGTTGAGCATTTAAAAAAATGGAATTCACATTAGAAAAGCGTAATCAATAGCGAAGATTTCCACTCTAAAATTAAAAAAATAATTATTATTTGTTACCAACTTGAATATCAGAAGTCTGAATTTAAAATTGTGTAAGATTTTTAAAAAAATGCATTTCAGTCTGATAAAAGTCGACATATTTTGCAGGCAACATCTGATCTGATTATGAAATCTCGGCAAACATGAAAGTTGGTGGAAATGTTGCCAAGCATTCCAGCAGAAGTTTAAACACACTGATAATTCTTTATTTAGTTTGATCAGAGGTAGTCAAAATATGGCCTGAGGTCCAATTTCTGCGGGTTAGTTTTTTTATTAAACTTTTCAGTGAGAAAAATTTCATGCTGTAATGCTACTGTTGATAGTCAAGTTGAGAAGCTATAAATTATAACCACAAATGGTGCTACTGGTGTCACGTATTTGTATTTTGTTGTCTGCCTTTGACATAGAACTTTTGTTGCCAGTTCCGTTTTGTTTTAGCAGCACTCATCCATTGGTACTTACTGACTGTTGGTACTGTGTGATATTTTGTTCTTTATATTTTATTTATTACTCACCATCACCATGTCACTGTCAGACCAGCTACAAAGAGGAAAGTGGATTTCGATTGTTGTGGTTTGAAAGCAGAAGGGAGAGTGAATTATTTTTTCACAGCATTAAGTGAAAACGTATTATGTTTATTATGTAATGATGCAACAGCTGAGCAAAAAGCATATGATATATGTCATTATTACTAAACTAAGCACAATATTCAAAATTCACAGAAAAAGAATAAACACTAAAATTGGAAAGTTGAAAATGAAGTGCTTCATCACAGTGCAGTTTGTTTATAAAAGTTGATATTGATACAGTAACTAAGGTGAGCTTATGAACAGCTCATTTATTAGCCATGAAAGGAAAACCACATATGGATGGTGAATTACGAAGAAATGACTGGAGAACAAGTGATACTTGATAGTGTTTTTGCCTTTCATTATTATGTTGTTTTCTTTGTTTTGGTGGCTAGCAGGTCATTATTTATGATGCAGTGATGATGGAGATGAGACATGACACTGTCTTGATATTTGGAATGATGGGTCTTCCTGTTTTCATACTGATATTGAAATTTGCTACATCTTCATTTTAATTGCACATTAATGAACATGGTGTGAAATTTAGTTATGCAGTGGCATAGAACAACATGCAGAATAATGGAACATTAATAATCTAATTTCTTTATTAGCAGAACTGTATTAAATTAACAATAAAATCATAATTTTGAATGTGTATTATCATGTTCTAAAGTACCTTTGAATGCTAAAATTTGCAAAAAGTGTCATATTTGTATATTTCCATTTTAGCAAATTCTCAACAGACCACTCAGTGTTCAAGTTCCAACAAGTTCGGCCCCAGAAAATAAAATTCCTACTGAAACAGTCCCACAAGTAAATATGTGTTATCTTTCTCTCTCTCTTCCCTCTTTTTAATTTTTAATAATTACTTTTTCCGAAATAATTTGGAAGTGAAATATTTATTTCATATACAAATAATCTGTAAAATATGTAAATAATTTCTAAATGTAATTCTTTTAATGTGACTATGTAGAGTAATATTAATAGAATAAATTGTGAAAAGAAAGGTGGGAAAACCCTTTTATGCATGTTAACAAGTATTTGTCAGTTTTATGAAGCATTGTGTTTATTTGCATAAATATAGTTATATAACTTAAAATCTTGTATGTGTTTTATATGTGTTCTGTCATACTCTCCTTATTAGTCCCCCCCCTTTCCTTAACCAAAGAATGCTCAGACTAAAAACAGGGATCACATAACCTATAATTTCAGTCAGATATTGCCTAATTATAATGTTGTTCAGAGGCCAATATTTACAGTAAAGAAGCCATCGATTTAGGACAACACACTTTATTTACACGTATAATGAATAAAAGGATCACACAGGAAATCGTATTGACCATCACACAGCAAGTAACATCTCAGCATCTCCATACGCTCGAAGCTCGAATGACGGATGTGTCGGTAGAAGAGACAGCTGCACAATCATACGCATGCGCATAAGAAAAAACGTTCGCTCGCCTCTACCCAACACACCCCTCCTGCGAGCAACATTTTTCAATACAAAAATGAAATAACAATATATAACACATTACATTAAGAAATTAAGGAAATTACTTTCAATGTATACATTAATTTTTCTTCATTGACACTCTTAGTAAGAAAATCTGCAATCATATTATCAGTTTGTGAATATTCCATCTTAATAACATTGTCCTTTGTTAAGTCCTTCATAAAATGGAAACGTAAGTTCATGTGTCTGGATTTCGTAGAAGATCTTGCACAGTTGATCCACTGGATGGCAGCTTGACTGTCTGTATTTAAGACCACTGCACCATTCAAAAATTGTTTACATTTTAATTCTGAAAATAAATTTACAGTCCAAATAATATCCTTACAAATTTCAGAAATAGAAAATAATTCTGCTTCACAAGTAGACAGACTAACACTTCTCTGCTTACGACATTTCCAAGAAATCAATGAATCACCTAGTAAAATAGTACCACCAGAAAATGACTTACCATTTACTGCATTTTCCCAGCTAGCATCAGCATATGCATTTAAAACTCCAAAATCATTGCTATAGAAAAGTTTTTTATTTTTTGTACCTTTTAAATACCTTAATACCCTTTTAGCTAAAAGATAATGCCTTTTTTTTTTCTAGTACATGAAAAACCTTTATCTGCCCCTTTAACGATTGGCGTTTTCACTGCTTTACAATTTTCCAGATTGTGTTTAGTCAATAAAGATTCAATATATTCTGTTTGAGACAAACATATACCATTTTCAAGTTTTTCTATTTGCATTCCTAAAAATTTTGAATTAGTATTTTCATGTAACTCAAATACATTTTTTATTTTAGAAACAATATTTTCAAGCATTTCTTTATTATTACAGAATACAGCTAAATCATCAACATACAAACACAATATAAAAATGTTTTTGGAATCATTATAAATGAATATACAATTATCAGATGCTAACTGTACCAGCCCAAGCTTTTCTAACTCATTTTTTATTTTCATATACCAATTTCTACCGGATTGAGGCAACCCCATAAATACTTTTCTTCAATTTACATACTTTACCTTCTCCAATCAGTTTTTCATAACCAGGTGGAGGAGTCATATACACATCCTCGTTTAAGTCACTATACAAGTACGCTGTTTTTACATCATAAAATTTAACAGACAAGTTTAATTTAGCTGAAAGTGCAAACAATAATCTAAAACATTCAATGTTAACTACTGGTGAATATGATTCGGTATAATCCTTATTTTTTATTTGATTAAACCCAGCCGCTACTATTCGCGCTTTATATTTTACTTCCCCAGAGTCTCCTTCCTTCAAAGTATACACCCACTTACTTTTTACTAATTTTGTTTTTTCAGGCCTCTCTACTATTTCCCACACTTCGTGTTTATGTAATGAATCTATTTCATTTTCCATTGCGGATTTCCAGTCATACCAATTAGCACTTTGTTTTGCTTCTGAAAAATTATTCGGAACATTACTGATTATACTTGACGCTAGTTGTTTTGATTTGAGCCTCTCGGATTGTCTTAATGGTATTTCATTTCCATATTTATTACTTTTTTCATAGCTATCAGATGTTTGGACTTTATTCCCCCTGTCATCACCCCCGCTACAACGGCTCATGTCGCCGATTTCGAAATTCGATGAGTCATCATATTTGCTTGCTTGAGTATTTTCCGTAACAACCAATTCGAGGTGTGGTTTTTGATCTAATTCGTTTCCCTTTCTTTCTAATTCTTCAATATCCCAAGTTTCTAAGGTTTTATTTTTTCCCATATAATTACTACCCTTTAAAGATTCGTTAAATTTAACTGATCGTTCTTCAATTATTTTGTTACTTGCTATATCATAAATATGATATCCTTTTCTTTCTCTAGCATATCCTAACATTATCCCTCTTTTCCCTGGTATGTCAAATTTGTTTCGCATTACTTTCGGAATGTGAAAGTATGCCACACATCCAAAAAGATAGTTTCTAAAAAGATAGTTTAATTTGGGTTTTTTACCAATCCAAATTTCTAAAGGAATTTTTTCTTTTCCTTTCCGGGGTGTTAAATTTGATACTTGAGTACTAAAATTAATTGCTTCTGCCCAGAATTTTACCGGAAGCTCACTCTCATGTAGTAATGTCCTAGCCCTTTCTAAAAGAAGTCTGTTTGCTCGTTCAGCTTTTCCATTACTCTCACTGTTATATGGAATTGTTTTTTCATGAAAAATACCTGAATTAGCAAGATAAGTATCTAATTGTTGATTTACAAATTCTAAACCATTGTCTGTTCTCAAACGTTTAATTCTTTTACCAGTCAAATTTTCATACTTAGCTTTAAATTTACAAAATGCGTCAAACACTTCACTTTTACTTTTAAGAAAATAAGTAAAATACATTCCAGAAAAATCATCCACTAAGATCATAAAATATTTAGACCCACCAATTGATTCAGTTTGAACAGGGCCACATAGATCCGAATGAATTAATTCTAAAATTTCTGAACTCTGATTAATGTCAATATTTGGATGACTTTTTCTAGTTATTTTACTTATGTCACAAGTTTCACACTTAAAATCACTTACATCATTAATATCAATGTATTCTTTCATTTTAAGCATATATTTTGGATTTAAATGGCACAATCTACTATGCCAAAGTTCATAATTATTACCAGTACAATCATTAGCAATGCAAGATTCAGAATTATAATATGGTTCTAAATTAACTTCAAGCCTACCGTTATTCTTAAATGCTTTAAAAAGTAATTCATTACACCTACTAAAAACTAATACAGAATTATTCCTTGATTCAATTTTACATCCTTTATCCATTAAGGCAGTGAGTGACAATAAGTTATTTCTTCTTAATCAGGAATATAACTAACATTACTAATAGTTAAATTAATTAAAACTAGAATTCTTTATATTTATAGCTTTTGCTTTAACAGTACCAATACCTTCTGAATATATTTTTGAATGTTTACCTGCCTGGTAAATTTCCCTCACCTCTGGTGTAAATATTCTGAAACCAAAAGAAGTCTTTTGCCATGTGTCCGGTTGCACCACTATCCAGCAACCAAATTTTATCACATTCATCATTTTTTTCACGCGTAAGTTGAAGAGCAAAATCACTTTCTCTTTCATCAGAACGAGATGAAACGTTCACACTTGTAGGTTGTAACTTCATTCTTTCCTTGTTACCTTTGGATAACTCACTTTTTGGATTCTTGTTTCTGTAATAGCAGTCCTTCGCGATGTGACCAGGTCGTCGGCAAATGTAACAAATTCTTGGCTTATAGTTTTTATTCCTTCTTGATATGAACGCCTCTGCGTTGTTTCCATCAGGTCGTTTCCCGTTCGTTGAATTGTGAACGGACTCTTCCTCACGGAGTATTTCGAGTACTTCATCAATTGTTTTTGTTTTTTCACGCCTGAGTTTTTACAATTTCCCTAATTCGAGAGAATTTTCCACGAAGTCCATGGACTGTGTAAAACACCAGTTCCCGAGGAGATACATCTAGTCCTAGCGATTGACACTTAGTTGCTATTCCTCTCGCTCTAGCGATCTAGCGATATAATCATTAGCCGACTCATGCAACTTCATTTCTAAATTTTTTAACTCATTACCAGCATCTATTTTTTTTTCGATCTTCGGCTTGTCCCGTAAATGTTGACTTTATTTTTCCCAAAGAATTTTTGTTTTTGCATTCTCTTCTGTGGAGAACTGAAGCGCCTGTTGATCCGATAGTGAAAGTTTTATATATGCTACGGCGTCAGCGTTTTTTCTCATTCCACAATCTTTCATCTTTCTCGTCTAAATTTTCTGGTTTTACTGTTGAATTACCGAGTCCGAGTCAAGTCTTTTCAGTGATAAGGCAGCTTTAATTTTCAATGCCCAAATAAAATAGTTCTCTCCAGTTAATTCGGGAACGTTCCACTTCTCCATTTTTGGCTTCCACTAAGACAGTTTCGGTTTCGACTTGGTCTCTTATATCCAATTCTTCTTGACAAAACCACGGAGCTGCTACCATTTGTTGTTCAGAGGCCAATATTTACAGTAAAGAAGCCATCGATTTAGGACAACACACTTTATTTACACGTATAATGAATAAAAGGATCACACAGGAAATCGTATTGACCATCACACAGCAAGTAACATCTCAGCATCTCCATACGCTCGAAGCTCAAATGACGGATGTGTCGGTAGAAGAGACAGCTGCGCCATCATACGCATGCGCATAAGAAAAAACGTTCGCTCGCCTCTACCCAACATATAAAAGACCTGACAGTGAAACTAAAAGAGAGCACATACCTCTTAAAATTAAGAGAAAAAATTAAAACTAAAGTAA